GTCTTAAGAAAAGCGTCACCGCCCCAGCTTCTCGCCTATTGGCCGAGGTCTAGTTTAGCTTAGACCACAATAATTTATTTGTCAAACTTCTTTTTGACCCTATAATTTATTTTAATACGCCAGTTATATATTTATACATTTATTTCCAATAATGATAGGTTTGGTCCTCCATAGATAACATGTTCTGTGCTGGAATTCCTGAAGGGAAGGGCTCTTGCAAAGGTGATGGTGGAAGCGCCTTCACTTTGACTAAAAATGGACAATTTGGGGCTGCTGGAATCGCCAGCTGGGGGGCTAAATGTGGACAGACAGGAACATACAGAGTTTGTACCAGAGTTGCTAATTATGTAGACTGGATTAATAAGGTCATGCTGGAGAATTAATGAAACAATCACAACATAATGGGGAAGATGTATTTGATGCAAATGTAAAAATAATCACAATACAACCCAGGCCAAACCTTTTTTGACTCCCTAAATGCAGTGTAGCGAAACAAACTTGTTCACTAATTTTGGCTGATTTTCAGTCTACATTAATCTACTTTGAAAGCAATCACAGATAACCAATGAAAGTCYGCTTTAAATACAAGCCAAATCAAAACATTATTGAGCTACAGGGCAGTATGAGTCCATCAGCAAACAATGCACTGTTTAAATTAATGCAGATTATTTTTAAACTAAAAATAAATAAAATGGTTTAATTCAAACATGTGTTTTCTTCATATTCAGTTTCCTTTAGCCAGATCAAAATGTCCTTCAGCAGCCTTCACAGAGATGACTCAAGGTTAGTACAGTTTATCTGAAATTTTATTTATTTCTTTTTGGGAGAAAAAAAATTCTGGTTTTACTTCATTTTGTATTTTCCATATTGTGGGCACAACTCCCAAACTTTGGTTACATTTATTTTTGACAAAGCAAACAGAAAAACAGTGTAGGTTAAACTCCACTGAAGGACACATCAATTTACAAGCAGACTGAAACCTAGGGCTAACATTGACATGAAATGCTAAGCTAGCATACTTGTTTTTATTAAGATAATGAATGAACAACTAATTAAACAAAGTAAAGAAACTTGCTTACCATTTGTCAGTTGTTATTTTTCAGTCAGTTATAACTCAGAAATCTTCTTCATGTGATTTTAATATTTTATTTTATTTTATTTGTCTTTGTACCGTAAAATTTGCATTTCCGATTTATTTTGTCTGAATAATGAGCCTAACCTGCCTGTTTCCACATAGAGACCAGTGACTCACTGCTTGCTGCTCTCTGATTGGCTGATCCTTTTTCTTTCATTTTCTCGCTGTAGCGACTCCAGTTTCTCTTCACTGCGCATGCTCCTGTGTCTGGCAGCCAGCAGGAGATGTTTCTGCAGTTTGTGTCGCAAGAGTTAGCTTTTGTATTTTAATATAGTTAGATAAAGTGGTCTGTTTAGTTAATGCCATAAAGGGGGCGAAGAAAAGACCTAAAATCTTTCTCGCATGTAAAGAAAAGGATGACATTATGATGTCTTGGTAGCTTGGAAATCAAAAGTGAAAGTGTTGAGGTCTTGATATTTTATTTATTTTGTCGTATTGTTTCTCTGTTTTTATGCTCCTTGACAATGATTGAAGTCATTTTGTTCGCATGCATTTTGATGTTCGTTAATGGTAAGAAGTTTTAAACTCATGGCATCTTATTAGTGTTTAATTATAAACAAACAGCTGTATCGACCTGAAACTCAGTAATTAATTTAAAAAGATGCAATAAGCATTTTTGTTTAATGCAAATTACAAATAATCATTTTTAATAAATGTAATTAAATAGTTATGTATATAA